TCATAAAACTGGATAGACTCCATACAGTATGCAATATAGGTCTACCCCTAGACAAATGCGACAGAACCTATTTACCTTTAGCTGGTTTCTAAGTTTGGAATCATCGATGGTATCGATTGTTATGAAATTGATTCAAAAATCATGTCTTGAATACTGTCACCAACAACAGCTTAGACTACACCTTCATCGCAACATTTGTTTATGAAATCCTACACTGAGACAAAATAATTCAATTCGAGAAGCAGGAAGAAAGTTTATTCAGGCATCGATTCGTTTGTGTAACTGACGCAAAACTCCTTCTGTATTGAAGTCATTCTAAGACTACTTTCTTGTAATTTAGTTGGATCACAGTTACTGATTGGATCAAACTGTGAAACTCAAATGTAAAAATACTCATTTCAAAAGATACTTTACTAGAAAGCGGTTTCAGGACACTGCTGCTCCGTTCTGTTTTTGCATTTGGTTTTAATCTGTTCGTTATGCAGTAATTTATTGTTTGCAAATAATGCCATTTTGCTTTCCCTGGATGAAATGATTTCTTCTACATATGTCAGCTTTCAGGCTGCGTATGTTTGTTCATTTTTCACCTTTCTGGCAAATCAGTAATCAATCAGAGCTGTGAGATTTGCAAAAATATGAATTTAATCATATGATCCAGACAGTTCATTAGTCACTTCTCACTCTTTGCTGATTCGCTGATTCATCGCGTGATCTCAATCCATCGAAAGAATCACCAACAAAACAAGATAATCCTCAAGACGAATTGAAATGACTGGACAGACAGAGGGTTAAGTTGATATCATACGATGGTTATTTGGAATATGCATGTTCGCGCACAGGAATGATATATTTTGCTACGAAAGCCTAGGTTGTCGTAGTTTTCAAACCAGCCACCAACTATTGATCATTTTGGTACAAAATATTACTAGAAGTCAGTTTCAAGTAGTCACACCATAATGGATTACTGGCAGCCAAAGGGTGGTAGTCATTTTTTATTTTGCTAAAAAAATATCGGCTCAACCTATCCACACCCTATTCAGAATTGAGAAAAGCGATTTGGGAAACAAATCAGCTTGTAAGAAGTGTAAAACTGTACGTGAAATGCAAACCATCATGCATACGAGATTATAAAAACAAACAAATCAGATGGGTCATTATAACATTGAAAATCATACCAAAATTCTATTAGAGCTGGATGATTGAGTGCATTGACCACTTGATTGACTAAGAAAGCCAAATCAGTCTTGATGAGTCAGTATCTGATGAAACTATGCATGGATAGAAAAGGCTCATTTGGCTCTTGCTAACCTATACCGCATATGGGACCGGTGAGATATTCGACTTCATAGTATGAGTCATATGTACTGCTGAGAATTTTCCTCTGTTCTTACTATGTGGCTGTAAAGCCTGGCCATTATAAGGACACACAATGTTAGCTAAATTAGGTTTAAGCTGGTAAAAGGTTAAAAGGTGAGAAGATTAAAATGCCATATCAGTCCATAAAGTCTCTGACTTTCAGTGTGAGAAGTGTAGGGAAATGCTAACTTCCTAGTTAGGTTTCTTATGACAAATTAACTCAGTGACTAAAGAATCTAGGTGGTGCAGATGCATCCATAGATTATTTCCATACTAATTCTTATATCATATCCCCATATTTGTTTTAAGAATCTGTAGGAAATTCTTCTCCTTTCTTTGGTTTACATCCTTCTGCCTTTTGTTCTGATGTGATGGTGTAAAGTCTGAAAAGTGATATCGTTACATAGCGTTTACACAATCGATTTGTACAAGATTTCTATAATAAAATCAGGTGTTGTTTGTTCTAGGCAACGATCATGTAACCTTGGAATGGATGAAGAAGAAAACATAGAATGTGGAAAACCATATTTTGATGGAATATATCTGACCTATCGAAGCTACTCACCACCGCGAAGCAGATATATTGTCATCAGTTTTATGTGTCTACTTTTCAGCCTTTGGTAATCGCTTTGTATCTCACTACTTACAGATAGGTGTCGTTTAACAATGAGCTGCATCAGCTTTATAAACTGGAGTGGTCTGACTGAGTAATTGTATTAACTGTTGAAAAGAAGACTAGGAGAAATAAAAAATAAGCTTATTAAGCGGACTTCAAGCTTGATTACCTAAACATTTGACTAAATCTACCTTTACTGATGTAAGGTGAGATCATCTGAAGTTTAGATGTCTATTGGAATGAGATGATTTTCCGCAGACATTTGTGTCGAAAACACCGTCTTGTCTCCCTTGTTCCTATTCTAACTAGAAAGTAAATTCTATCCCGTCTGTGGACAAGTTTATGTGTCTGCAGAAGCTGTGAACATGTTTGGATTTCAAACCAGTAGATGGATTATTCATAATTCTCCACCATACTTTCAGTGTAGGTTTAAATGTTCTTCCAGTCATACGTTTCGGTTTGTCCAGAAAAATATCAGCTATAACTTGGAAAATTGTAAAGGTAAGACATAAGTGAACTCTTAGCATAACGTCGTCTTCAATCGAAACCCTAGTTCTATGAGATATGTGAATAATATATTTACTATGTTGAAACGAAGTATATCCATAGCTGGTAGATGGACTACAATTTACTTTTAATTCAGAAGATGAAGGGGGAAACAACTAGTTTAGATTGTAAAACAAAACCAAAACAAGACATTGGCTCGAGTACAAGTGTCTTCAGAATATGATTGCATCTAAATAGATATCCAGAATTAAGTTAACTCATCCCGGCATCAGTAAAGTTAGGTTTAATTAAATTTTTAAGTAAAGAGGTTAGAAATCTATCCAGTAAGTCAAAAAATCTAAATGAAGAGATGAAACACAAAAGAGTAGCTTAACTTTTTGATCTCTTGCTGAATTTATTCAGAAATGCATAAGGAAGCACAAGAAAGGAAAAATTAGCTATGTGAAGAATGATTGCAAAATGACTGAGAAGAAATCCATACAACGAAGGGAATCAGAAAGCCCACGTAGAATTCTGAATACAGCTGGGAACATATGATCTGATCGTTTGAAATATAGCATGTTGTCCATGACAGATGTTTCGATAGTCTTGATTATTCATATCTTGATACTATCAAAATTGATCTGAAAATGAACTGAAGTGTAGTCAGAGCGTTTTTTAATTCAAACAGCTCATCTTTTGATAGATAAAGTTCATTTTTATTTACGCAAAGAATGAAGTTATAATATCAATCATTGTTACAGATGAGTTAATAGAAAAAGAGTGACAATATGCAATGAACAAGTTTTCATTAACACTATGAAAAATCAGATCAGTAAATTACATCACCAGTGAAAATCTAGCTAACCTTTCAGTAGTTATCCTTCAAAAAATAATCAGACTTCGGATACCTTCAGGTTTCAGGGTGGACAATCTCTAATTATATATTGCCTAGACTTCATTATCCCACTTCACTTGAGGTTAGCAGTGATGACGGGCTTTAGCTTTCAAGTAGAATCCATTACTCACAATCATGTCAAGGTAATTAAACAGCTTTCTGCTTCGGTTTTCCATAGTCCTACTCCTTTTCATTCTTTGATTTAATTAGCAGTAAAATTCTTCACACATCTGGGAACATATCGACAATTTCCTCACACAAACTCGGTAGTAGGCGCAATCCAATTCACTTACGAGGTAGAAAGAAGGTGAACAAGGAAAACAACCTATGTTGGATTACAGGGTAAGACGAAGGACGGTAGGTGGTTTGGATACTACCGTCTGCAGGAAACCAATACATTCTAACAGGTATCTAGACTTCAAGTCATCTCATCCGATGTCAGTTAAGGCAGGTTTAGTCAAATGTCTGAATGACAGAACTAGAAAACTGAATAATCAGTGCAAAGACCTAAACAAGGAACTGGAACACATAAAAGAAGCACTAGTAGTTAATAATTATCCTCTACAGTTTATTAAGAAATCCTTACGAACACATAAGAAATGAAATATTGACACGAGTAAGAGTAATAACAACAACACGAGTGGAAAGTATTTCACAGACTCCATTGTGTTACACTCTAAGGAAGGTCTACCAGAAACTTTACATAGGATATCATCCAGTAAATAATACTGTATCACTGTGTACTATGTTTGATAAAACCTTCGCTCATCACGCAGCATCAATAACACCGGTCTACCAAACAACTTCTATGTTAGACAGTTTCACTAATAACCAATACGACAATTCCTCTTTGTGATTCAGTTTGATTTCGATTGAGAGAAGAAGACCTGACTGGTAAGCCTGTGTGATTATAATGAGAAAGCAGTTACTTATAGCTCATTCCAATCACGGCTGAGTTCTAAGTCAAGTTAGGACCTGGTCAATTCAACCAGGTCTCTTGAATCAGTCAGTGGAGCATCCGTCTGGTGTCAAGGAGACCGCTGGTTCGAGAACTCTTGTGGCTTTCGTTTTCCTTTCACTCTCAAACATGACTCATCATCATCATCATCTGACTGCTGACCATATCTTCACTTCATTTGAATTCGTGGTGCGTTACTACCGCTTGATCGTACTTACACTGGTTATCTAGTAAGGACTTCTCATCCCAATCCAACTGAAAATGTACTATCATCAATATCCTTATTTAAAATATTTATCACACTGACCAATCTATATCACTGGTTTAATTTTTATAAACACATTTAGCTACTTCTTATATCAGAGTAAAGCCGAAGAGGATCTAGTTGAATACAGTGTTGTTCACGTTATTTGTCTTCCCCTAAATCCAATTTTGTATATTTGGTTAGGCCGTAAACAGGTCTGTCGTACAATTTTGAAATTGTGTTATGATTGGTAGTGTAATTATGACCTTGGTAATGAGGGATTGAAACACTGGTCTAACTCTTAATTTTATTGGCTCCACTTTCTAGGTATATGATTGGCTCAGTATTCGCATACACCGCCCACCTATACTTAGCTTATAATTAAACCAAGATTTGCACATGCATACTTACTATACCTTCGTAGCGTGACTGCACTGGGATTATGTCTGTGTGTGTTTCAACACCTGTGTTTTCAGTATCTTCTTTGACGGATTCTTCGTATGATGCAGTTCTTCTTGTGAATGATGACGTGGAGCACCTACCAGAAACGTTGAAACCTGCTTTGCATGCACTGAAACAATTCAGTGAGGTGAGTGGTAGTTTTCTCAATGTAGACCTAAGCCAGTCAATCTTTCTGCAAATGAAATTAGTCAGTTTGGAATATGTGTAACTCTTATTATACATACATGTTAATATAGAGGTACATAGGGAATAGAGAAGATAAGAAATATTTCCAGTCGTTCCTGTAATTATGAAGTGTGGGTTGTTGTTTACGAGTTAGTGTATGTGGTTTAATGAGTAGTGACCTAGGGGAAGCATTGAATCCTGTTCATTGTATGACGTACTGCAGGATATTCTCAGAATGGTTGACATCTGTCGAAGTGTGTTTTGCATAAACTGTGGAGAGTACAACATCAGGATATAGTTGATGTTTCTTGTTGTGTGAAACTTCTCTATTGTTTACAGCTACTTTATTGCTGGGATATACATCTTAACTGACATACTGCTGATTGTTGATTAGCTCAGTCTCTGTCATCGTGTGATTTACTTTTACACGAAGTTTGTCAACTAACTGAAACCGTCTTCATTCTTTGTAGGTCGATTGCATACTTTCATTAGGGCTCATTATTATTATTGATATTATTTGTCCTTTGGGTTCCTAATGGAACATGGGGATTCAGTAGCACGTCTCCAGTGAGCTCTGTTCTCTGAAATTGTTTGAACCTGGCTCCAGGACAGCTTAGAAGCTCTTATTTCCTCCTCGTACGATCTCCTCCATGTCACCCTCAGCTGGGACGCCCAACTCGTTGCTTCGCATTGGGGTTCCACTCGAGGAACTGGCTTGACACGTGATGTCCCCAGTCGGCCTTCTCAGTGTGTGCCCAATCCATCTGCACTTCCTTCCAGTGCATATTTGTTGGGTGATAGGTTGTTGGTTGGTTTGTTGCCAGTCAGCCATATTTCCTTGTTGCTTATTCTAACTAATCTGGCTATGTGATGTTCAGTAAGGAGCCAGTGTAGGTGGTAGTTGTTGATGAATGTGTGTAGTTTGTTGGGAATGCCTTTCGTGACGCGCCAAGTCTGTGAGGCATACAGGAGCACTGACTTGACAGGCGTTGGTGTTGAGAATCGGGATGTTGTTCACGCTTTGTGCTGAGTGCAGTGCAGATGTCCACACTGGTTTCAGGTTAATGAACACCTGTCTTGTTGTCTTTCGGATCCTGGCTGTCTTTGACGTCCTCGTCTGTGCCTGTGTCGCCTGTAGTTGAAACAGTGCTTCCTAGATATGTGAAGGAGGCTACTTGCTTTAAGTTTCTCCAGTTTGTGGTGATTGGAGCTTGTTGTTATTGTTGGTGGTGTTGGTTGGGTATCTTGATTAGGGTTTCTACAACACTTATATTAAATAGAACGACATTAATTCATTTGTAGTATGTGTCAACTCAACTTCTCGCATATTGTTTGCTAGAATGCTGCACTCAGTTGTGGATGCAACTTTGTCCAAGCGTCGTTTACAACACCACAGGACTTGCATACATCATCAGTAGTGTAGTCTGGTTTAATGGATCACTTTGTACTTGATGTATATTCATTTTATTTGGTCTGAATCAAATGTTTTACCACTAAACTCTAATCTAAGTATGACCATTTTTATGTGAATGTTTTCTGAGTGATTTGTTTATGGATACTTGTAATTTCCTCTTGTTATACTGAGTCGGATTGCTTGATTTCTGTGTTAGCAGATGAGTTGCTGTGCGGATGTCTGGATACTGCCAGGTTACTTATTATGTTATAGTGCGCTTGGTGGCTAGCAATGGAGACTAGGAGGCACGTTTTGTCCTATTTGGAACTCCTCAGCTGGATGCACCTTCATCCCAGTGACTGTTGTTCCCACTGAGACTCTAAGCCACTACCCACGGCTTCAAACGTGAAGTCGTTATCGACTAGACTACCGGGACACGATAGCCACTTCTTGTACGATGGGTATTAGTAGCTGTTTGATACCTGTAATTTCTTGTTATACTGGGTCGAATTACTTGACTTTTCTCTGGAGTTATCCTTTAACTGATCACTTGTGATACATAAAGCTTTGCCTTGGTAATGAAGACCGATGTTGTTATAGGGATTTAGAGCGAAGATTGATGTTTGCTGATTATAGTTATAGAAGACAGGTGGATAGCCTGACGAAAGTAGCAACGGTAATGTTATCAAGGAAAAGGTGATATAGTGGTCTGACTGTCATCAAAACATGAGACTTATATCTTTCATATTCAGCTGAGGTATTCGAAGGTCGTCTATGAACTGGTGTAATAGTCAGTGATGAAGGTTAGGTGTTAGGAGTCAATCCACAAGAACCCCTTGGTTTGTGCGCTTGTTGTCACTCGTCAGCAAGGCGTATATTCAACCTTAAATAGACTGGTGTTCCCTTGGTGGTACGAACTTACATCAGCCAGCTGTTAATTCGGGAACTTGGCCAGTGGTTTATTCAGTTGGTGTCTGACATCCTGTAGGACTAGATTAAGTACTTAGATTGTTCACCAGCGGATAATTGGTGTAGCTGTCTAGTCCTTAGTGCTTAGCACTAACCGAAGCCTATCGACCAGTTTTGGGATGTGACCACTAAACTAGATGACGTGATACCTGAATGTACTGTATCCTGGTGGCTGCATAGATCGTAGTAAGTAGAGGTTTGAACCCAGTGTTCATTGCATTGGATTCTGAATTTGAGGGACTGGAAGTATTTTTGGGAGAAATGCGAATTCAAAGTGAGTTTAGTGAATAGATGAATGAACTACGTTTGTAAAGTGGTAAGATATGTTATTGAATTTACTGTACAATGGAGACATGTGGAGCAGTAGCCAATTGGTTAAGATATGTTTTTCATCCAGTGGGTTATGAGTTCGAACCCCACTTCACTTAATGAGGTTTGGACAACGAGTTAGTGATATAAGACCTAACATTGGCGTGGTTCCTCGCTTATTGTATCAGCTTCACGTTGTCACTAATTAGCATTGCTCTTCTTGTGTACAGAGGAGTAAATAAGTGGGAGTAGTTTACTGGGTTGGAATAAACTAAGTGACCTTGTGAAGCTTAAGGTCATCTATGTAAATGGACGTAAGCGTCCTGGTTTTACGTGTGGTCATAGTAGGTTCCTTAAAATGGTTTTGGTAATAAATAGTATTTGGTAAGAATAACTAACTTCACGGTCATTGTATCTCTAGGACAATCTTTCAGTACGTTTCATGTTCCCATGTGTATCGTTAGTTGTAGTTGTAGTTAGTAGTTGTCATACGCTCTGGTTTTTTTCAAATTTTGTTTTATTTCTGACTTTTTCCAACGTGCTTAGTTTTCGAAGGAACATATTTTGTTATGCATATTATTTTCATGATGAGTCGAGAAGTGATTAATTGTGGCGAGACTGTAGTCAGAGTTTGCTGATTTATTTAACTGTTGCTTAGTGATTAAGATATGATGCTATTTTGTGCATTCTTCGTTTTGTTGGTTGAGATGTAAAAGAGTCTAATATAAATTGGTGAGAAGTGATTAGTTGTCCTACAACCTTTGTTCTTGTTCATCGTCAGTTATGCATTTTCAGTTGCATGATTTCTATGCATTTTATTTTGAGCCTCTACTCATTGTACATAAGCAGCATTCTTATTTGATTAAGTGATGTAATGAGGTTGGTGAATTGTCATAAGATACGATCGATTTCAACTTGAATTGGGAGTAATCAGTTCGTCAATAATTCCTTAATTATGGGGAAATATCAGTCCGCCACGCCACTCCACTCCACTCCACTCCATATCGTATCAGTATTCAATCAACCAACCAACCAACCAATCGATCATCATCTCAGATCAGTTGTCAACAATGGCTTCATAAGAATCAGTTTTATTGTTCTAGGCACCCAGTTGGTAATGTGATGTGAAGTGCCTGCAGTTGAAGATGTAGATGTTCATCTCAGATCGACAAAATCAGTGTAGAACCTCGCACACATGTGTATAACCTCAAATTGCCATATTTCACAGAAGTATAAAAAGAACAGGTGGATAAAAAAATATTGATATTGGAGTAGAGTAGTGTAAGAGAACAAACAATCTGAAGATGGCGGTTAGTGCGAAAAATCAAGCCTTGTAAAATGTCAAGGAGTGAATACATGTGCGTCATTGTGACTGATTTTCAGCCGTCGCTAACAGTCCTCAATTGCTGATTCCTTTCTTTTCGGGAATCCCAACTAGGGCGTCTCCATCTGTCAAGAAGACTCAGACCAACAGTTAGTAACTTCATGGGGTGGTACCACGTCTTGTTGTAGCCACCCTGAACCCTCTTTCAACCTAAAATAACTTTCCCTATCATAGCACGTTGGGGTAGGTGACTCAGCATGTGCTGTGTATGCCCAAGCCACCTCAGCCGATGAAGGTCCACAAAGTCATCAGTCGATTTGCCTGTCTTGTCCAGTGGCCTTTACCGGACCTCAACATTGGTCATACGGTGATTCCACCAAACGTGAGCAATGCTACAAAGAAGTTTGTGATTAAAACCCAGTGATCGCTTTGTGTTTTCTACTTTTAACGGCCGTCTCACAGGTGTACTACAGGACAGAAGAGACTGTAGCACAGTATACTCGTACCTTGATAGTTAATCACCAGTGAGAGCTACCGGTGACGCAAGTTGGCAAATGTCAAAGGGTCCCTCTGTATTCGAACTGAGAATTCATCAGCAATTAACCTGTTTTGGCTGATGCAACTTCCCAGGTAAGTGAAGTGGTTGAGTAATTCTACCACTTCACTCCTTATCGTTGAATTGGGGGTGATTGCAGAGTAGTCCTGGAGCGTCATGTTACATTTGACAGGTGGGAAACACATGCCAAACATACTCAGACGGGGACAGCTTTGACAGTAAACCATTCTCAATATCTGAATGTAAGACAATGAAGCTCCTGGTTGAATCCTCTATAGATTTTAGCTTTCCTACAGACTTGATATGATGTTAACCCCTTTTGAAGATGTATAATTTGTTGTCTGTCAGATAGGGATGTGCGTAATGTTCGATTAGGTAAATAAGTATGGTGTTAAATACAATGGCCTGTTTTTTCAGTTCACAAGTTTCATTTTGATTATCTGTTGAAGGGACTGTAATAACAGGTTAGGTGAACTGTTTATCAGTGACAGTAATCTGTATCAATCAATTGACAGCAACTTATAGATGAGTCACCCTCACTGAATGTTTGTTTTGACTTCTTTTGAAGGTGAATCCTAAGTTTTCCGATGAAATCAGTGTGATTCCTTTCCCGGAGCATCCATCGAAGAGACTGGTAAGCTTGATATTTCAATTTAGATTTTAAGTTGTTGGATTTCAGTTTTATTTTGTGGTGAATCAGTACAGTACAGTACAGTACTGTAGTGTAGTATAGTTTAGTGAATATATGGAGTATCTTGTTCTATTTTGTTGTAAATGCTTTAAACTGTTGTTCGATTTCAATGTTCCTGCATTTGATGGTGAATAGTGTGATTGTATCCATTCCTATAATCATGATTTAACTATTTCCTGTAAATATCGGATTTTTCGTTTGTTAATAGATTTCTAGAGATGGGAAATAAATCATCTTACTGTTATCATCATGCGTTTTACCGTTGTTTGTATATGAAAGTGGTCTTTATCGTAGAGACATTGGGTTATAACGATTATATTGTACTAAGAAACGTGGTTTAGATGCTTGTGGTATGACCGACCAGATACGAGGTTACAAAGTGTTCAGCTGTGGTTTATTGGTGTAGGGAGTTGACTTTCAGCCTCTGGGTCACGGCTTCGAGCTGTGCTGCACCTACGGAAGTCGGCTCAGCCGGGTAGTATGATTAGCCATTGTGCAATAGGTGTAGCTCATTACCTACTGCACTTGATTACTGAGTGTATTTCGATTTCAGTTCGAATTTTATTTTATTCACTAGATTATTTGATTATTCATGTCTAATAATTGCGATTATAATCTTTTGATGTAAAAAGTATTTTAATGTGACTGTGTGTTTTCTGCTGATGTAATCACTCCTGTCATGTGGTGTTTGAGTTGACGATGATGCGTTCAGTTGAGGGTAGCAGTGTATGATGAAATTAGAGTTGGTCGGTTGAACAAGTATACAGTGGTAAAATGTTTGACATCACATTGTAATCTACTATGGATCTAAGAATGCTTAGTGTTTTATCGAGACTTATTATGAGTCTACGGTTAAAATAATCGAACTGTTGATTCTAGATTGATGATGGATAGTGGCAAGGAGAGGAATCCCGGATACGCGTATCGTTCTATTTGGGACAAGATTGAAACTCTAGCTGTTGCACAAGAAATGGTTATGGTGACTCGGTGGTGCAGTGTATAATGCTTTGTCGTTTGAAGCAATCGGTCCCGAATTCGAGTCCGGATGGAAACAATATCTCATTAGGAGGCAGGCACATGCAGCTGACGGGTCCCAAGTGGTACGAAACGCGCGTCAGGTATTCCACTGCTAGCTGCTATCCATGATTAATATATAATTCGAACACGGGATAACGAGACATCCATGCAGGAGCCCATATGCCAAAAGAGACCGATCAATTCTGTCGAATCAACGATGGGGGTAATACATGCAACAACATTAATGTTGATTCTATAGTTCGCATTTGATGCTTTGACTTATACTTCTCAGTAGTGGGGGGGGGCGGGAGGTGGGTGGTGTACTACATTATTTATTTTTAACTGATTTGAGGTCTGATTGACTTAAATGGGATAGTTAGATTGGTTACCAGTTTCAGCTGTGAAGTTTGATTGCCATTGCATAACCAGACGACATTATCTAATCAATGATGTAGTTAGCTCTTCAAGCTATTGACATACCTCTGCTGAATTCGGAGCCACTTAGTAGTTGCATTTGATTCCTACAATTGAAGTGTTATTTGCGAAGTAGATTGAGAACAGTGTGGCAACCGAAGGCGATGTCGTAGGATAAAGCCAAGAGAGAAGGGTGCAATCTCGACTAACGGTATAGTTTGTTTTTAATCCTGACCTTGTTTTTGAGGAGTGGAATATCTGGTGATATACAAACAAAACATATTGCACGATTTCAGGACAAATATTCGGCTTTGAAAAAATGTCTAGTGCTTTAACTTATTCAATGTTCATGAACTGATGGGAAGTCGTTTGATTCTTCGCAATTTTTACAGTTTCCTTTGAAAGGTATAAGTTTTGTTTGTTTGATTGTGTAGATATTCAGTCCAAGTGGTCAATTGAACACAGACGAAGCGGATATTCGAAATGTATACGATGCTGCTGTGGATGGTATGAAAAAGTGAGTAGTTGAATCATTGAAGAAAAGTGATTATTTCAAGTTGGTATTCATTATGGAGTGACACCAGTTGGAGGGACATTAGAAAGCTGGGATCACTGGATAGCTGTTTGGTCCTAGTATGGGACTCCCCGTCAGTGCACACCAATGACCCCACCATGATGAATATCAACTTGAAATCAATAAATCCTCACAAAGCCTCAAATAAAAAAAATCTTGCTACGCATGTCAGTGGTTTAGGCTTAGTTACTGTATGAAATTTCAGTCGAATGTGTGAATTTCGGTTGAAATTTTGATGTATGCACCCAAACTGAGAGTTGGAGATTTGTTTCAAGTGTATATCATGGCGAGAATAGATAGAGGGTGTATTTGGATAACTCGTGTAGCACACACAGCAATAGTTTGTCAATCAATGGTTGTTTGTTAAGAGATGAGGCAGGGAAAGTTTATAAGTTGAGAAATTGAAGCAAAAGAGCATTTGGGTTGGGTGTAGATTTCTTTTCTGTTTGCTTGATGAGATGGTGTTAGTGTTATGCAGAAACAGTCGGACTATGGGTTGTATGCATGGACTGCATGGTTTAATAAAACAGATAAGCAGTGTATGTTAGTTGGTTGGAGGCGATTGTCAGGAAGCGTGGACCGATCGATAGGATTTGGTGTGCAGTTAGGACTAGACAAGATGAAATTGGTTGCGCTCTCGTGACTACTCACTACAGATTGGGAGTGTGCATGCATCATCTGATAGTGGGTTGCAGTGAATCAAGTTGGCCGAAGACGAGGAAAATGATGGCATTTGTTTAGGAAGCGATAGTTTCTGATAACATCTTGTTTCCTTGTTAATTGATAGTCATTTTATTTCTTAGGTCAGAGCTTTCTCATCCTCTACCAAACTGCTATTAAGTTTATTTGAAAATGGGTGGTTTGGTAATCAAGTTTTGTCTTGTTGCCATGCTTCAACTTCCTGACCTTCACTTTATCTGACTTCAACTGATTTCTCCCCTGAATGCTATTGACATTTTGTCAATTTCTCTCCCTAAATTGTGTAATTAAAGGTTTTATTTTAAAAATATTACAGAAATTATCTGGCCGGATACACAAAGAATAATTGTAGTATATATATGACAGAAGAGAAGATAACTGAATGTGGTGGACTCATGAAACTTGATGAGATTTTTTTCTGTTGTTTTACTCCCTAAAGGTGGAGTTGTGGCTCATTAGTTTAGACTTTGAACTATCGGGTTACGAGTTCGAATCCGGCTCTACGTACTCAGGTTTTGGCTGCCAGGTAGTGGTACCATAAGCTGTCACATTATAGGTGAGGCTGAATGTCTACTGCGTTAGCGTGCACATGGTTGCTGAATGTATTTCATTTTCAACTTCTTAAAAGCGATGGGCTCATCAATGTCATACTGTTGGGACTATTAGATGACAAGCGCGAATGGTAAGAAGTAGTTAAATGTACCGAGCAGTTAGTCATGGGAAAAGAATCACTCCGAGTAGCGCGTATTACAAAGCTGGATACAGTATGAGTTTAATATTTAAGTTGCAGTAGTGTTTGTTAGGTGACGCATGGTGGAATAAGCATGTTAGTAATGCTGAGGTCAGGCGAAGTGTAGTAGGCAATGAATGTAGGGCGATTGATGAGGTTGTGAACCTTTGGTGACTGAGGTGGCTTGAACATGTGTTGCACTTGCCGAACCGCGACCTACCTGGACGTGTAATGCTAGGAGAAGTTGGATTATTTTGGAAGAAGGCTCAGGGTGGCCAGACTTAGCTGTGGCAATCGGTGCATGAATTCTGTGACTGTTGATCTCAGTCATGTATAGGCTGCCTGTTTGAGGTTCCCGAGACCGTAGAAATGGATAGTTGGAGAGAGTTGGTGACATGACTGAAAATCCATCACAATGGTGCAGATCTGGTCACTCGACGTCTTCTAAAGCTTGAATATTTGTATTAATCTTTAAATTGCTTCTCCTCTCATACACCTTTGTATACTTTCATATCATTCTTTTTCTATCGACTTATTGTTTGCCTGCTACTGTGAAGTGTGTTGACTTGAACCGGTACACTTGTGTTTGAGGTTCTACATTGGTTTTAACTGTCATTGTATGTATCATAATTTGCTTGTCTGTGGCTAGCACAAGAATCCAGGATGTGCGTTTCGTCCTAGTTTGGACTTGTCAGCCGGATGTGCCTGCACCCTAGTTAGTGATATTGTTCCCACTGAGACTGGAACCTTTTACCCATCACTCCAAACACCAAGGCGTTATGCACTATGTCACGGAGGCACGATGGCCATTTCTTGTTCAACGGGTATTAGTTATTAGTTTCTACTGATATACTTGTTATTCTCCGTTGTTATATTGGGTCGAATTGTTCGATTTCAGTTGGTATATGGGGCCCTATACGGATGCCTCGATATTCCGTCAGTGGTATAGTGGATAACACCTTGGGCGTTTGAAGCATTGGGTACGAGGTTTGAGTCCGAGTAGGGGAAACATGACTGACTGGTGAGCAGGTACGTCCCTGTATTTATCGTCTTAAAATATTCTACATCAAAGCGAGAAATAGAGGTCATGTAGTCCAAATTATTATGAAGATCAGTTATGAAGTGAGGTGGGAAGTATGATGAATATCTGTGTTGTATTACTTGAAAATGCGTCATACACATGGACGTAAGTGTGTCACAAGCTGACCCAAAATATGAACTTTCTTGCTTTTATCTAAACTCTGAAGCTGTATGTAAGAAATTTTGGAGGGATTTGACGGTGGAACTCTATCCTTATGCATAGGGCCAGAGAAGAGATAGAGGAAAGGTGGTGGAGGATTCATCAAGCTATATTTTCTAATTCATTGTATAGGTTATGTGCGTTCACGCTATGATTTCGTTGGTTACAAGTTCATTGTACCGAAATGGCATGATTGAAAAGTTATGAATTTGTTTTTAGGGTGATATTCACCACCGACTGAGATTAGGTTGGCGAACCATTGAAAAGCCGGAAGCGCTAGGTAGATGTTCCGTTCTAGTATGAGACTCCTCAGCACTCCACTGTGCATCCACAACCCCTCCAGTGACAGAATGTAGGACCTTCTGGTTCCCTGGCGAGCACGTTATCATTGAACCACTGGTCTGGAATCCGATAGTCCATATTTTCCTACTTCTGCTAGTTCATGATATAGTGGGACCTTCGTTGAGTACTCGTCCACACATCCGACCTAGTTTGTCCCACTGGTCGTAACTTTGCATTAGAAATTGGCGAAATCTCATCTCGAAGTAAGGGACTAATTATCACTGGTCAGTGATTAAATTTGGTGGTTTTTGAGGATTTGTTTATAGATTTCAAGTCATAGTTCTTTGAAAACTTTAAATTGTTCAGTGGTTAACAAGCATATGTATCTTAGATCAGGATTATTGAATGAGCAATACTTACTAATTCAGCTCTTAGTCAATTTTGGTTGTTTACAGATGTTGGTATGAGTGAGGTAGATTGTTCATACAGGTTCTCAAATCGGTTATGGATGGCTAGATTGAAATTTCATTCAGAACAAGAATGATTTGAGCTTTTTGAGTGAATTCCACAGTGGTTTCCTCTTCGGTGAGCCTGACACTATACTTCAGGAACTGATTGAGTGGCTTTAGTGCAATGGGATGCTCACTAGATTTTAATAGTTTAAAGATCCCCATATAATATTCAGAAGAAGGATAATTTGAGCTCAAATTATTGAAATCTCATTGTTTGAGAAAAAGGAAAATTGAAAGTGAGCCAAGGTAGTTCTGTAGTGGAGATTACTGATAAGAACAGATATGAATAGTATATGTTGAGAGGGAGGCAGAAATCATAGGGAATTACCAGGAATGGATAGGAATTCTGCCCACGGGAATGCAAGAGACAATGTGGATGTAATGAGAGTAAATCAAGATAGAAGCAGAAGAGGAGATAAAGCACATTGTGCAAATGACGGTCTTAGTGCAAGGTGTACGATATTTGATGACTACTGTACCACATGTGAATGAACATTCCTTCCTGTGTCTCTGTTTCCTCGTTTCTTTCTGTTTTTTTCCTAGTAACAGATAACTGAACAGATAACAAAATCCTTACACACGTACGCAGACTAACTGGGAATAAATTCATATGATTGTTGTTAACCTGAGATTTCTTCAACTATGTTTTCATACTACTCTGAGTTTCTAAACGGTTGGAACTGTAGAACTTAATAAGTGTAGTGGGCCAAACTAAACAAATGTTCCACATTGGATTTTGGGGTTTGTGAGGATTTACGGATTGTTCAAGTTGACTTTCATCATGGACTGACATAAATTGGAGGAACATTGGAAACCTGAGAACACCGGACAGCTGATTCGTCGTAGTATGGGAGTCGTCAGCATTGAGCACCTGAAGGTCTGGTGTCCGGTCCGTTGTAGGGTCGTGGATGCACATTACTGAAGAGTCCCGTAGTGGGATGAACCATATGTCTAGTGCTCCCAGGTTCCCAATGTTCATCCAACCAATGTCAATTCATGATGAATACGAATGATATGTGCATATGAAGTTCAGTTAACTCATTAAGCTTTTCAACACAATTTTCCACATCCTATTTAAAATATTGAATAAAATTTGGTTGTACTTTGGTGTAAGGTAAACGTTTTCAATACTATAGGAGAAATGTGTCGTTAGATGTGTGGATTTACCAAAGTTCAACTTTACCCATTGACTTTAACCAATAAGATTTAAAACTATAGGAGTACACTAAAGGAATCTTCCTTTATTTTGGAAATTGAGAGCAATTTATCTCTGCTTGATAAGTGTAAATCACTTAATGAAAAGCTGAAAAATATGAGTGACTTTAAAGGCCACTGTAGCACTAATTGAAGTAATCAATCAGACTTCTGTATTTTATGAAAATCTGCGTATGCAGGTGAAATAAAGAGACCTGATTGGTTACTTCACTCGTTGGTTGTGTGGCCTTTAAAGTTGCCCAAAAACATCTGTTATTGATATATGGTCATTTGATCATCGGAAAAGAAAGATGATTACAGTGGGGAAATCTTTTTCTTCTCTATGAAGTCATTTTGTACATTGGTTAAATTATATCAGAGAGACGATATAACATAGCAGAGTAACTTCCGATCAGAAGTTAGTATAAATTGTATGACGAAAGAAAGTTACTTAGGAAATGATTATGAAAGAAAAATTGGTGGTCAGTGGTCTACAATGGCGGTGTGAAAGAGAGCGGTTAGTGTTGTTGCTTGTATTATTCCGTCGTTGATTGGACTGAACTGATCGGTCTCTATTGGCATATGAGCTCCTTCATGGATGCCTGGATGTTGCCTGTGTTTGAATTATTTATTTGTTAATGATGGATTGTAGGTAACAGTGGAATGCAGGATGCGGGTTTTGTGTTGTTTGGGAGTGTGCAGTGGGAGGCAGGTACATCCAGATGACGAATCCCAAATAGGACGAAATGCGTGTCCTGAATTCCACTGTTAGCTACCATCTATCATTAACAAATAAATAATTCAAGCATAGCCTATTCCGAGGCATCGACGCAGGAGCTTATATGCCAATAGAGACTGATCAATTCGGTCCACTCGTTGACGGGATAGCACAAGGAGCAACACTAAAACCGTACCCGTCTCACAAGAAGTGTCTATCGTGGCTCGGTGGTGTAGTGGATAATGACACTGTGGTGTTTGAAGTGATTGGTTGCGAGTTTGAGTCTGGATGGGAACAGCATAACTCACTGGGAAGGGAGGTACATGCAGGTGACGAGTTGCAAATAGGATGAAATGCGTGTGCTGGATTCCACTTCTAGTCACTATCCATCATTAATATATAAAGAATGTGGTTGTCCAGTATACTTCTTTTCAACACCTAATGATGGTTTGAACTTTTGAGTTGCTAATGGTTCAGCTTTGAATCGTGTAAAGTTGAGATATTTGGGCATAACTGAAACATTAGGAATTCACAAATAACTTATCTATCTTCACCTTTAGAAGTATTAATTTCATACATAGGGTGATGTGATTTACTTGTTTAACGCTTACCTTCCATCCTATTGTCATGTTGTTCATTGAAATAATTGACGTTTTTTTGAAAACTTTTCATATCAGTACTGTAACAGCTTTATTTTTGATCAGGCTGATCGAAATGTCGAAAGTTAATTAATTCCCCAAAGGTTTCAGATAACTTCCATCTTCTCATTATATTATCTAAACTTTTCTATCAAGTAGATTTACCATATTGTATATGTTTTTTTTTTTCGTGTTTAGATTATTGAAGATTGGATGTAAGTCACCATTATTATGTTGTGGATCATTTATCTCGGCACCGAAAGAATGGCAGTGGACTGATCGTAATTGTTTACTGTTGAATGCTGTTCTGGGCGCATATCATGCGTTGTACACAGTGAGTATTGTCTTTGAATTTTTTGATAAAATACTTCGTTATTTGAGGCGAATATGTCAAGAAATCATATATGTGACTGTGAGTTATTATGCCAACAAATTTGGGATTTCGATTGATCTTCCAATGTTTTTTGCTAATTTATTGAATGGCGAAGGTTGTCTATTCTAGGATTGTATTGACTTGTTGAAGGAAAATGTTATGACGAATGTAACGAATGACATGTGATGGCTGTTAATTCAATAATACAGTCTATAGACTAGACTTTGAGTGTCAGTTAGGTTAACACAGTGGTAGAGGAACTTAGGTAAATTGAAGTTGATAGATGCCATCAAAATAAGTGAGGTTGATAAAACTCAGATGAAGTAACACTCTTGAAGATTAGTGTTGTATTGTTGAGGGAGAGGCTGACCACCGAATTTCTGCTCATTGAATCATCGCGAAAGGCATATAATGGGGATAATTCAACACTAACCCTGGGTATACGGGAAGTTCTGCTGCTAGGAAAATCAATCATTGGAAGGTAATATAGTGAGTGAGTGAGTGATGTAAGTTAAACCGGAAAGTTATACTGATTCACTATGTGGTATATGGTTATGGGATTTCGCACTATCGTAGTGCTTAAATTGTACTTTACGAGTGCTGTTTTGTATGTCTCATTCGTGTTGCAAATGTTTACGTTACTAGCTGATGAATAATATAGAATAATAGATTGTGTTATACAGATGGCGTACTACAAGTGTAATGGCATGATTATGATACATTGTAGTTCCTGTCTCCCTGAGTATGTATGTACGTATGGTAAATGCTTTGGCACCATTGAAGTGCATATTACTCTGCAAGATTGGCAGTAGCCTGTGTCTGTGCTCACCCCTTGTGATGAGTTGTTGGAATGAGTCGAAAAGTTTGTGTAACTGTGTAGCTGCGTGAGTGCTAGTGAAGGTGTGAGTGATGAAATTTCCAACTGCATATCGTAAGCCAGAGTGGGATATGTCAACCTGATCCGCCTGTCAAAGGTGACGCCGTCTGACCGTAAAAGTTTGAGTTTACAATGCTTCGTTGCGAGCAGTTGTGCTTTACACCTTTAAAACCTGGAGTCTGTGTGCTGAGGATCTGTGAGGACTGTGTTTTAATATAGGTGTAGAACTTGAGCACTGTGGTAGGATTTAATTCCATATTAAATTTGTTTGTTTGATTTATAACATACAGTGAAATAGTATTATTTACTTTATGACGTTTCGAGGATAAATTATCATTGCTCATAATCATATCAGTGTGATCACACAACTTTAAACATTTGATTTTTGTGGTTACGTCACCTCATATGGTTTGTTTTATTGGTAGTAAAATCTTTCATATTTGTGTTATAAGTGTTGCGTCACTGCTATTACATGTGTTGGGTGTTGATTGATTCGATGAATAAAGATTCCGTAATCAATCTCTCTCTCCACCTAGTAATATTAGACTTAAGTATAGTGGCTTTATGCCACCCTATTGTGTGGTTGTGTGTCAATGCTTGCATTGCGATAGCTGAGTTTTTCTTCTATATTATTGATCTTATTGGGGTCTGTCATTGTATATTTCGATAAATTCGTATGTTTGGCTATTCTAACTGAGGCTGACCGGCTAGTTTGACCTATATGCTTGAGCTCACAGTCATTACATGGAATTAGATAGATTAGATTATTTTGCTAAATTGGTTCTATTAGGTCCTGTGTGTTCGATGATCGTTGTCTGCGTAGGATTGCTCCTATGCGCTGGCAACACGATGTAAGTAATCCTAAAGTAGGACAGGTTGTGCTTGGGCATGATGGAGATCGTTATTTTATAAGTGAAGTAATCTGGAAACCGGACTTCAGTGGCCAGGATGTGTGTTACGCATGTTGTCGGAACGGCGTGGAAGTTGTTAATTATTGAAGGATAATTTTTATACTGGAGGGTTGTTTGGGGTAAGAAAACCTGTTCTTTGTGATTTGTTATTTGATCGAGGGTGTTAGCTAGTTTCATAAGCAATAAAATCCCATGTAAATGGTATATTTTGAAGTTATATGAGCCTTTCATTAGGATTGTTAGTGTTAGATGGTGGGAACGAAGGAACAGAAAACCGTGCTCCACTTAAGCGTCTTTTTTGTTTGTTGTCACTCATGAGAAAGACATACGTGGAACGATGAAGAGACCGGTGTTCCCTGAATCATTCATGCGTAAACTGTTAAACCACTGAGGTACTCATGCTTCGATTGACCTGCTGCAGGACTGGAGTGTGTCACCAGTGGGTAGACCGATGAAGCGGTCTGCTATTCAGTGCTTAGCACTAGTTGAAGTCTGTGGATAAAATGTTAACTTTTGGAGCTAATAAAGTGTTGGTGTAGGAGAAGGCTGTTGATGTGATGACCTTGAGTTTGATTGGATCAGAGTGAAAACAGTATCTGATCACGATATAAGCATTAAAACTGAAAGTATACCTGTGGGACATGAAGCGGCTATCGTGGCTCGGTGGTGTGGTAGGTAACGCTGTGGTGTTTGTAGCGATGAGTGCGGAGTTCTAATCCCGGTGGGGTACAAGATCACTGACTGGGAGGCAGGTACATTCAGCTGACGAGTTCCAGATGGGACGAAGTGCACATCCTGTATTCCACTGTTAGCTACAATGCATCACTAATATATAATTAAACTGGAGACAAAGTATTGAGAGATGTGTGCAGGAGCCCATATGCCAATAGAGAGCGATGAATTCGGTCCAATAAACGACTGTATAATACAAGCAATAACACTGATATCATACTTGGTGTCTGATTTCAATAGTCAACTTTGATTTGATTATAGGATGACTTTTTTCTTCGTTAACCTACTGTGTGCTGACTCTATATCGATATATATTTTAGTTGGATCATTGAGTTTTAGCGTTGGATCGTTGTAATATTGTCTGAATTAAAGCTTTAAACTCTGTGATTTAGCCTCTTGAAGTTCGTGAAATGGTTCCTGAGAAGTTTCCTAAAGCTATTCGATTGGGTGTGATGGGAACAAGTGATGCTGTACTGAATATCGCCAAGGCTATTGAAGAAGGTCGAATATTGGCTCGTGATATTGGTGGATCGGATCCGGAGCGAATGGCAGCTCCAAAGATTGCAGAGTACTTAGAGAATGCGTTGAATGGTCTTACAGGTGTTACAATGACAACTGAAAAGATTGATGTAAAGAAGTATCCATTGATGGCAGCTGTAAATCGAGCCGCATCAGGTATTGCTTAAATTTTGTTGCGTGTTTATCATGTGAAGACTTAAGTAGTCCATACTGTTCATAACTCAATGAAAATTTTCTTGTTGTGCACGCTTCTAATCCTCTCTGAGTGTAATAAATAGTTTATTGTGTATTTTGTGGAAGCTATATGAGCTAGTATTAAGCTGTTATTATTAAATTTAACTGTCCTTTCAGGCAACCGATTTTGACAAGTACTTGAGACTAGTGTGTATCTTACTAAGTTACTCTACTTATATGACGGTTTGTGCAACATCTGCAGTCGACAACTGTTATCCAGTGCATGGATATAACGGATGTTGGGAAGCTTATAAATCTATTTGATCCTGGTTTTGGCTCTTCAGGAGTGTGTACCTCATCTAAAATGAGCAAATTTTATTGAAATTATTGAGTAAAAGTGGTAGATATCTCTGTTTAGGAAGGTGTTTGTTATTCATACCCTTACGTATTGTAGACTAATATGATTTTCAGCGTATTGTTCAATGGCACTGACCTTTGCTCATGACCTGCCTGGTTTTCGGGATAACTTATAATATGAATTGCACGGTCTACGTTGACATTGCTGACAGTTGAATAGTTTTTTTCAACTACCCGACTATGGTGCCGATCAACGGGGTTCCCATTGAAAAGAACCTATCTGAGATGACACTGATTTTTCATAGTCACCTAATAGGGGGAATATAATTGTTTTCCCTACTGAATGTCATATCCTCAAAATGCCTGAGAACCAGTATTCATTAAAACTAGTGATGAAAATATTCTGGTTTTTAGGGTAGGTGATTTTTAGTCACTGAGTCAATGTCAATATGGGCCTGACATTTAAGTTGTCACACCTTGTATGAGGAGACCAGGGTAAAAGACACAGAAGACACACAGACACACACAGAGAAGTAAGAAAGTGATCAAATGTGGTTGTTTAGGGAGCTGACTGTCAAGCGGTGAGTCACGGGTTCGAACACCACTTCACCTGCTGAGGTTTGGACTACCTCAAGTAGTATGACTAATTCTGTGACAATACGTGTGGCTAATTATCTACTGCACAGGTGTGCACAAGTTTACCGAGTGGATTTTATTTTGCTTCGTACTAGTAAATCATGAGAAAAGAGTGTGTGGTAAAGCAACAACAAACTTTGATGTGATGATTAGGGTGTGGATAATATTTGGATGCATGTTCACCTAGATGATCGATTGTCAGTTAAACACCACGTAAAGTTTCCTACCACCAATTCTGGTTGTCACATGGACGTCAACTGGAAGATCTAAATATCTCTAGATGATTCAAACTGATAGCAAGAAACTTCATAAATTGACGTCACATTTTATTCTGACTGTTTTTAATATTTTTCCAGCATAAAGCTAGTTTAGTTAACAACATTGCATGACTGGGTATACGGTGACTGCGCTTGCGTAACTTATGTATCAACCTGCTGAGTCGATGAAGTTAACATCTTGTTTAGTTAACTGACGTGTTTCACCGAAAACTTTGTGTCGAACTACTGCTCTACTGACTTTGTGGTCTGATGGCACACGATACACCTGTAGTTATGGAGGAGAGATTCTGTGCTGTTAACTGTGGTGTGTGTTTTCACTTGGTCGAGAAATGAATTTCTGCACTGGTATTCCTGTGGTAGAGATGAATGACTTCGGGATCGAAAGGATAGTCGATCATTTTAAATCCCTGTTAGTCATTGAGTTGAAAGAGCTTCTTCGGTGTAAGTGTGCCAGACAACATTTTGCCTTCTTAAGTGTTGATACGTTAATGGTAACCAAAAGTCTACTTTTTTTCCTCTCACTATTCCTTGACTGTCAGTTGTACCTCGTCACGATGGAAGAGTCATTCACCTTGATACACACCACCGAATCCAAAGGAGATTGATACGTCGCTGTTTCTTGTCGGGAAAGGTATCACCTATGATACCGGTGGTGCTGATGTGAAGCCGAGTGGAAGTATGGCTGGAATGCACAGGGACAAGTGTGGTGCTGCAGCTATTGCAGGCTTGTTTAGAACTATTGGTCTCTTACAACCTCCAGGGTTGAGTGTATCAGCTGGACTTGCATTTGTACGGAATAGTGTTGGTGTTGAATCGTATGTTGCAGATGAGATAATAATTTCACGTTCTGGACAACGAGTTCGTGTAGGTAATACGGATGCAGAAGGTCGAATGGTGATGGCTGATTTACTGTGTGAAGCGAAAGAAAAGGTTAGTGGTTTTATTATTATTATTATTATGTGACATATTATGATGTAGAGCTTGTTAGCTACTTATTCGACCTTATGATCAGTCCGACTGGGTGTTAAGTGTAAACATATTCATTTTCATGACTAATTGTTGTTGACACCCTGCATGAATGTCTTGGTGATCGACTGGCTGTCATGGCATTGAATTTTGTAATGGAGTACTCTTATTGTTGTGTTCTGTATCATGTGAATGCATTATATCTTTTCTTTGTAGCATAGCATAGGATTGATTGGTATTAGTCGAGTTACTTTTGTGCTTTGTTCATACATCCCGTGTTTGACATTTGCTAACTTGTGTTTTCTCTGGTACCAGGGAGGTATTCGGTTGTGTATTAAAGGATGAGTACACTGCACTGCAGTTGGTTCTGTCGTGTTATATGGCTGGGAGATTTGACGTTTAAAAGTAGAAGATATGAAGTGGTTATAGATTTTTTTACTATAGATATCTTTGTAGTATTGATGGCGTGTGGCGGAATCACACTATGTTAGGTATGTTGAGGTCAGGCGAGGGGTGGTGGTAGGTAGTGGATTTACGGCGGTCGATGAGGTTATGAACCTTCATGAGCTGAAGTGACTTCAACATCTGCTGCACATGCCGCACCATCGCCCATCATCTCAACGTGCCACTCTAATGGTAGTTGGATTAGGTAGGAATAGGATCAGGATAGTAAAAGTGAGATATTGCACGAATCGATGAAGTTTTTGACTATTAGTCTAAGCCGTGTAAGTAAGGTGATGTAGGCTAGGTGTTTGGGGTCCCGGAAACCGTAGGAATGAATGGTTGAAGAAGATGTTGGTCCCCTGGCTGAAAATCGGTCACAATGTATTCTGTCTTTGACGTCTTCTAAAGCTTGAATGTTCGCACCTCTTCATCTTCAAATTACTTTTTCTCTTACACCGCTGTCTAAATTGATATTACTGCTTTTCTATCCATCTGTTCTTTCTGTACTACTTTGAATTGTGGCAACTTGAGGTGATGCACCTGTATACGAGGTTCTGCTTGATTTTGTCTGTCTGTCTGACTTCGTATACCTTCTGAACTTCATGATTATTTGAAGTTGGTATTCATCATGGATATGAGTTACACTCTTACACTGAATGGATCATAATTGTTTAAGAAGGAAGTAAGCCTTTCATCCTGATTTATTGACTGGTTGAATAGATGAAATTATATCCGAGATATGAGTTAAATGTGTTTTTGTTAGTGAACATGAACGCGTAGATAGGGTGGTACATTGGAAATTTAGGGATTCGTCGAACGTCTATTTTTCCGATAACCTTATTTTAAAGGTGTGCTGAATGATGATGATAATAATAACAATGATGATTGAAGTTGTGATGATAATTTAACTCTTAGAAAGTGAAATATCAACCAAAGTCAAGTTAAATCGTGTTTTAGATTCATCGTAAAAGGTGTATTTTACTTGTGTAAGTAATCCTGGCGAACGGAACCGAAGCAAAAAAATATTTTGTTTAATTTGGAAGCTTGTGGGGATTTTATTGATTTCAGGTAATTATTTATCATGGACTGAGATCAGTTAGAGAAACGTTGGAAGCCTGGGAGTACTGGATAGGTGTTTGGTCCTAGTATTGGACTCCTCAGCAGTACGCGCCGTGTTGGAGTCATGGATACTCATTTAAAATGGAATGTTTTGTATGATTCCTGAATGTTTAGATCTTGTTAGGATAAAATTGTTTTAGATCATGAATGTGATATTAAGTTTTCAGTTTAACGTTCAAGATAAGTGTAGAGAAGGTGTGACCTTTGTGATGATTCAATGGGATGGTGATATAGATCAAAGAAGAATATGATGTTGATGAGTGAATAGGTGAGGAGGTCAAGAAGGCTTATTGCAGTCGTGGAAGTAAGGTAGCAGAAGAATGGGGTGGTGAAATTTATTTCGATTCTGAAAAGGACGATGGAGTGGTGACTTTTCAGGGGGTGGGGTGGGGTGTGGTGGTGGGTGGTGGGGTTGGAATAGATTAGTATTTTGAGAAGATGAATATTTGTAAATGAAAGAATGTATGATGATGATAATAATAATAATCATAACAATAATAATGGGGATAAGGATAGAGGTGTTCAGGATAACAGTCGAAGTACGAAGGGGACTATGTACTATGTAGAATAGTTCATAGAGAGTATATAACTGAGAAGAGAGTGTAAAGTTAGGTAAAATATTAAATCAATAAAGAATAATATAATGGGATTAGATAATTACTACTTGTTGATATACTTGTAACTCTTCATTGTTATAGTGGATGGAATTGATCGACCTCTGTTGACATCTGGGTTGTTATGCGTACGCGGCTGAAGATGTGTAGTGAAAATTGACTTGGGCTAGTGGATAACGGTTTGGTGTTTGAAGCAATGGATACGATGTTCGAGTCTCAGTGGGAGCAACACCACTGATTGGGGTGTAGGTACACCGAACTGACGAGTCCCCAATAGGACAAAATGCTCGTGTTGGATTCGTTTGCTAGCCACAACCAAGGAAGTTGATCGTAATAGCGATTAGACAAGTTGGTAAAATGAAACCAATGTTTTTTGAAGAGATAACACGATTGAGGGAAATAACACCGGAAACTATTCAGAGGTGAATATATTCAGAATAAATCATATGGAACAGTGTGATTGTTCACAAGACGTGTGTTTAATTTATAATTTATAAACTAACAATGGCCTATGTAAAAGAATAAACGACTTAATTAAGTGTGATTTTTACAAGTAAACGTGTGATGAATTACAGTGTGAAATCACTTAAGATAGTTCATTAGCGATGTAACCGGACAAATGCAGCTCACCGAATTCATTTGATTCAATCAACTGTATCTGACCAACTGAATGACGTCAGTGGTTTCGAAGTAAGCATGTTTTTTTCAGTGGTGTGCCTTGTTAGTTTGTAACACGTGTCAGGTATCACACTTGAAGATGTTAGTTGGATGATTTCCGAAGGAAACTGTGTTAATATCTCAGCTGTTTAGTTGAAAAGGAAATGACTGTGAAAATTGAGAGTGTATGGTTGGCAAAATTTGTAAATTGTTCATCCAAAGTTGATTGTGGTTAGTTTGTCGAGAGAAAAATGTGTTGATGAGATAGTTTAAATTGTTGATTTAGTAAATTACAATCACCTTTGATAGAATATTACAAGTTTACATTTACAGCCATGTATGCAAATAATATCGACATTCTTCTAAGTGGGTTATTATTCGATTTCTGTTGCTGCCTCTCCTGTCTCTCCTAATTTCCTCACAGTATTGTATTGTATTGTATTGTATATGCTTCCCTTCAAATCTTTCACCAGTCAACTGTCAATTCTTGTCCCTTATCCTAACAACATCGTATCATTTAACTTTCATAAGTATTCTTATCGACAATGTACACTACATACCTTATTGTATAAATAAGAGCAGTGGAACAGGTAGATGTGTGTATAAACAGTTCAGATTAGAGTGTTGTTATCTTATGTTGACACAGAAAAATTGGCACATTTGCAAGAGTTCTTATCTGTCTGATGTTTGTTCACTTTGGTGATTTTCGATTCTTGTATGGAATGTATTTGTAAGCAGGATTAATTGACTAGTGTAGCATATCAACAATATGAGTAGTATAGTTGTTTTCAATAAGTCTTACTTCAGAATATTTGATTTCTTCTTCGAACAAAGTGTGCTGTAAAATTAATGTAGAAGTAAGACTTGAGCACTGTGGTAGATTGTAATTGCACGATTTTAGTGTGTTTATTAGATATGTCATACACAGAGTAATGGTGCCGTATCATTTACTGGACAACGTTTCAGATGCAGTTTATTGTCCATATTCATGTCAGGTAACTAACTGCACAACTGCGAGACAGAGTTTATATAGTCGTAGTTTTCTCTCCTTCTCCATATATCTACGACAGGTGAAGAATCATTCTGTTGCTGTGTGTATTTGGTGTTGATTCGATAACGAAGATTGGGTTGTCAATCTCTCCCTCCTTCGAAATAAGTTAGTTTTGAATGCCGTTGCTCTGTCCCACCCTAGTGTGTGACTGTGTGGAATTGTGTGCAGAGCTATAGCGGAGCTTTTCTGTAAGTTTCTTATCTTACTTATTAGGACCTAGTTATTTTACACTTGTAAGTTAAATACATAGGTCAAAGTAATCAACCAGTATGAAGTAGAATAGCAGAGCACGAAATCTTAGGTAAATCAAGATTAGCAGGTTCTAATGAGATAAGAAATTTAGATCAGTGCTGGACTGTAGCTATGCACGCAATGACACAATCACACAGTAGGGTGGGATGGAACGACAACATGAAATACAATGTTTTATTTGAAACAATTATTCCCTTAATAAATTTCGATAAGGCTATTAGAAGATGAAGATTATCTGAGAAATGTGATGTATTTGTGCAATAGATTTCGAACAATGTGCTCGATCACACATTTACTTGTCAAGTCAATTTATGTATGGAAATTGAAGGTCAAATATAATATAATGAGAATGAAAAAGTTGTGACACTAGTCTTGGTATTATGATAATCAGATAAGGGTTACGAAGGTAAATGAAGTGAAAGAACAAATTGTTTTTGTACACACAGCGGAGGGATTAAGTTTACGAATGGCTAACGCTTCGTCGAATTTGAGTATGCTCCCCTGATTATTCCTGTATAATATCTTGAAGGCTGTTTTCGTATTAACCCTATGATTCATTTTAATGATATGTTTTGCTATGGATGACGATGGGTGTCTGTCACTTTCACATATCAGAGTTTGTGTTTTGAACTGTTTTTTTTTAATGAAACGTAGGTATATGTTCACCTACCGTAGTCTGCATTAAACGATTACTCCTCCCTATGTATGTGTGTCCACATATACATGTGAATTGGTAAAGACAGTGGGATGTGACGTGATCATTTGTGCGAGGTTTAGGTTTGTGGTGAAGCAGGTGTTTTGTCGTCTGAACAATGATAAGCTGAGCTGCATAGTATGTTTTGCTGATAACAGATTTTAATCTCTGCTTTAATATCATACTACTTGTTTCCCGTGTGTATGGTACTTTAAGAAATATGTTTTTCTTCGGGACCGAGGAAACTTCGGGGTCAGCTGTTTTTTTTACAATGGTTGACAAAGTGTGGTAGATAACCGTTTTCCATTAGAGTGTCTGTGAGAAATTTATTCTCACCATCCATCGTATGAGATGTACAAATACGTTGGATTCTATTGAAGAAGCATCTTACTAAGCCTCTGTTATATTTCATCGGACAAAAAGTGTAGAAATTCAAATAGTGTCGTGTGCAAGTAGGCCTCCTATATATTGATCCTCTGATAGATGCATCTTCCCTCCTGCACAAGAGTATGTCAAGAATGCAAGTTGATGGTCTTTTTCTTCCTCACATGTCAGACTGATATGATTTTGTATGGTATTAAGCCTTTTTAACAACTCTTGGCACCCTCATCTGTGTCACATATTATAAAGATATCATGGACATACGTTGTATAGAATGTGACATTGGTGATTAAATGTTGATCTGTTAGTTCATTATGTGACATATATACATAAGCTAATAAGGGTCGTATTGGACTGGCCATGGCTACACCATCAATTTGTTGAAAGTGTTCACCTTGGAGAGTGAAATGAAGCTTATCAGTACATAATAAAAGGAGGTCTTTCAAATGAATTGAAGGAATAGGGAAAGAATGATAATTCGAAGATATGTGGTCGCAAAGAATATTAATTGTGTTCGTTAGAGGCACATTTGTAAACAGAGAGTTGACATGAAAAGAATACATTTTCTTATTTTTTTAAATATTGAAATGAGTAAGATAATCAACAAGTTGAAAGGTATCTTCCAGCGAATACTTACATAAACGATTAGGAATGGGGCTGAGTAATTCGGCTAACCATCTTGCCAATTTGTGTGTGGGAGACTGACGTATTGACAATATTGGGCGTAGTAGATTATTAATTTTGTGAATTTTTGGAAGTCGATATAGATTTGTAAGATTAGATGGCATGGGTTTTAAAGAATTAAACTCAGCTTTAACAATAACATGCATATTGAGGAGTTTAACTAGACTAGTTGTTACTTTTGCTTGTAATTTTCTTATATCCTGTGACGGAGCATCTGCTAAGAATTTACGTTCATCACAAAGAATAGACAAGATTTTATTTTTGTAGTCTACTTTGTCGATCAAGACAACACGTGATCGTTTATCAGGCTTAAGAATGATCACATGAGGATTGTTCTGTAAGTTTTTCAGGGAGTTGAAGTGTTGCTTAGTTAGAATGGATATTTCTGTTGTGGACCTGGATTATGGAATTGATGGTCGATATGAACTAGTTTAGCCTTGAACCAAGTGTGTTTATCGAAGAGGTAGGGAGTAGAGAAGTTAACTGATCATATAAATTTTGAAATGGACATGGATGGCTAAATCATTGTTGTTATGGTGTGGGACAGAGAAATTGAATGCAAGAGAAATAGATTGTTTGTCACATACCGAAAGTTCAAGTGAAGACAAGTTGGTGACATATTTATGTGGATTTACTGGAAATGAGTGTATGTGAAGGTAGGTAGGTAGGTCAGTGATACACGATTTGAATAACTTTTCTTTAGCTTTCACCTTCGTTTTAATGATAAGTGAAGTAGAAAAATTGATAAATTTGATATGAGAAAGTGTAGAGATATCAGACAGCAGAGAAGAAGGAGATACATGAAGTTGAATAAATCGGGATAACTTCTCGCTGCAACTAATAATATGAGAGTTTATAAGACGAATAAGATTTGAGACATTAGGATGTAATTTTGAACATGTTAAATATTTATAGAATGGTTTTGGGAATATGTGATTAGATGTAGATGATTTATAAAATTCAGGTTTCACTTTTTCAGATGGTATTTTACACTTTAGGTTGAACAGTTCATCTAAGCGTTTAACAGGGCGAGCAGGGAGTCTTCTTTTCAGAAATATGAAACAATTAGTCTGTTTAATAAACTTGGATAATACAATAAATATGTTAGTTGATAAGCAAATCAAATCCGCAGCAAATGCCTGCAGTGACAGAAATTATTGTTCACCTCTCAGAGGTCTATGGGAAGAAAATTCGACTACCCTTATCATCGGAGTGAAGGCGAGCGAGTAAATAAGGAATATATAAACTGTGTCTGGAAGTTGTGGAGTTAGTTACCAGCTGATATGAATGAATATGGACAATAGATTGTTTCTCAAAGGTTATCCAGTAAATGCTACTGTTTCACTGTGTGACCATATCTAATAAGGAGACTAAAATGTGCTATGAAACATTTTCTACACGATAGCATAGATGATGAATAAGACTTACTTTTTTGTTGTTCCTTATCACACTGCCTTTTCAATATGGTTGTTCATTTCTGTGTGTTTTTTATTTCCACTTCTGTAGGCCCTCAAGGCTAAAAATCCATTTTTGTTTACTATGGCTACTCTAACTGGACATGTGATTCGAGCATATAAACACTACACAGTTAGTTTTAATCTTATATGATTGTGTATAGAATTTCTCTTGAATGAAGTTAATTTTATGTTTTTTTTCTAGGGGAACTTGTGTTTAAATTTACAGAGAATACTGAAATTCTCTACTGTCTGTTCATATCATGATTATTTTGCTAGTGCTCAGTTATTATTGTCATTAATTAATCATCATGAAGTTGATTGACAATTGATGTCTATGTAGTTAGTTATGAAACAAACAAAGAGACTTTAAGTTGTTATTCATCGAAGACTGACATCAGTTGGAGGAACAAAGGAAACCTGGGAGCAGTGGACAGCTGTTTCGTCCTAGTATGGGACTCCTCAGCAGTGCGCAGTCTTCGATGAATAACAACTTGAAATATTTCCAAATCTGCACAACCCCCTCTTTAAAATTTAATTGAACTAGTGCTCGTTGGTGACTAGCTTCGAGAAGTATTCGCGAAGTTCCAATGAGAAGTCGTGACCGGTGGAGTCAAAGCCTGATGGCCGTGAGGACAAATACTCAAGGATGACATTGGGTGGCGGTTTGCGCTATATCGTGAGCTAACAGAAGTTGGAAATATTGAGCATTGGATTGTGACCCAGTGGATAGCTCAATGGTAACGCGCTGGTCTCGGAACCTGAAGGTCGCGGGTTCGATCCCTGCTGATGGGGTCGTGGGTGCGCACTGCTGAGGAGTCCCATACTAGTCGGACGAAACAGCTGTCCAGTGCTCCCAGGTTTCCTTTGTTCCTCCAACTGATGTCAGTCTTCGATGAATAACAACTTGAAAGAGACTTTAATAAAACTTTGAGATGATAAAGTCATTTTATAAAAGTTGTACTTATCACAATTTATTGTGAATAGTAAGAATTTTGTTTGTTTATCAGTTTATCGGTAGATAAGCAGAGATATTTATAAATTTCAGTGTGCAACATGAAAACAATCAAAGGTGGTTAATAAAAACTGAACAAAATTGATGAGATATGAGTTAGTAAACTACATATGATGTGATTTTATAAATAAAATAAGGGTGACGTAAACTGAGAAATGTGAATATAAGTTAGAAGAAGTGGGATAAGATAACGAAAAAAAGAAGAATGAATAAACTTCGTAATTTACACTGAAAAAAAAGTGTAATAAAATGAAGCTGCCCGACTTGATGACGGTGACTTTACAAACGTTTTGTGAAATGCCACTTGTGGCTTAAAAAAATAGTGTGAAGCGCTAATACTTGCACAATTCATATTTCATTTTGACTATGTGAGATAGCCAATAGTTTTGCAGACTAGTAATTATACTGGTTGATGATTGAATGTGAAGTGAAAATTTGAAGGGTGGCGGTATTGGAACCACCGACCACTGGGTTTGCAACCCGATGGTGTAGCAACTGAGCTACGAGATGTGAGTGCTGGCCAGGTTTTTATTTCACTTGGATCAGCAAGGGTTTCGCACGAGTACTATGTAAATTCGTGATGCGTTACTATGGTTTGATTGTAGTCACACTGGTTGCCGACCAGTTAGGACTTCTCATCGTAATCGAAATGTAACTGAATTAGAGATAGGGAGTATGGTATTGATTATTATTTGAGTATGTGAGATAGCGGTTGTTTGTGAGACTTGTATTGACCGGATTTAAGGTGTGGTGATGGTTGGTTGTAGTGCGACCACGGTCGAAATTTTCAGTTCAGCTTGAATCATCTTCCAGTATAAGTTCGTATTTTCACAGATTATGTTGAATGTTAATTTGGTGTTGTGTCGTATGAGTTGGATGTTTTATTTGTGGAGATTTAATTCTCTTTCTAGACAATATCACCACAGACTTCAGAAAGAAGTGAGCCATAAGGTTTTCTGTAGAAGTGGCTCAGTAGTTTGTCTTGATGAGGTTGGGTGTGATTAGTTGTTTCTGCTAAAATCTTATCATTACCTCCACATTTAATTCGATTTGTTGTCCTAGTGACGTGAGCTTTGATGTTCTTGTTGCTTGTTGTGATTCTCATTGGTTGGTCGGTCGGTAGGTAGGTTTGATGTCAATATATGTGTTGGTCGCTGACTCATCTGAAAACCAAGCTTGTGAAAATTGTTTGGCATTGTTTGCATTTCGTCTATCGATGGCTTTCGAATTTCCCCAGTTGAATTGATGTCCACAATTGTTTGTGTGCATTGATATGGAGGGAAATACGTGAGCACTTAATGAGTGCTCGTTTATGCTCATTTAGACGAATACAAAGAGGCTTACCACACTCTGTTCGATATAATAGTTTTGTTAGTTTCTGAAGTTTATTGTGTAGATAATGTTTGGCTTATCCTGCTTTGCTACTGTTATTATTTGGCATGCATAACAGAGTGAAGAGGCTTATGGGTTACAGCGGTTCGGAAAGGTTTCAGTGAGCGTTAGAAATGATAAGTTTTTGGTTTGTGGTGAATGAGACAAACATCTTTTGATGAAGTTGTGTGGATGGCGGGAAAATGATCGTTAAATAGATTTGTTAATTAATTTTTGGTGGATAGCAGTGTGATATAGAATGTATATTTGATTGTTTGTAATTTATCAGCTGTATCCATCTGTATCCTAGTGAATGATACTGTTTCCTACTGAATTTCGAACCTAGCGTCCATATCTGCAAGCATCACAAAGTCTTACTTAATAGGCTACTAAGTCAAGTCAGTACTGATTTTGTCAACAACACAGTGTATGGCTAATCTTTGCCTATAATGTGTTTCTAGTCAACTGGACAGTGCAAAGACGAAGGAGTTACAATCTGACTGTCATCATGCTTCCTTCATAGATCATAGTGTAAGTGATTGTTTGATTTACCCTTGACCTTTAAATTTTATAGAATTGAATACAGAACCGTATACTTCCTCTTTGAGTTATTCGGGGCGAAAAGAACTTCTCTTCAACCGAGTGTTTATTATGATGCACATGTGTTAACAAATGAGAATAAAATAACGGTTCGGTGTCAGAGGGTTGAATAACATGATTCATAGAATGAAGTTAGAAGAGTGGTATTCACTGAAGTTATCAAACTGAGACGCTTATAGTTGTATAAAAACAGCACTAATGATGTTAAACGATGAAAAGTAATTTTATTAGCTTAAAACTGACAGGAACTAATCAAGATATTAGCAGGGGCATATGAAGTAGTATTCATTGTGAATACTTTAGGTAGGTTTAGCCTTATGAAAAATTCTTACACTTCGTAACACATTTATATGATTTTTTGTATGGAGATTTTTTCTCAACAACCGAACTGTTTTCAATGTACACACATTTATCAGGCTGTAATGGACAATGGACCAGCACGAATTAAGAAAGTTTCTCAAGAACTACAGAGCTGTGGTGATCTTATCTCTGATGTTGTAGAGGTAAGTGTGTTCTCTTTGAAAGTTGTAAAGTTTTTAGTTTTGATATTAACTCCTTTAGTCGACTGGGATGAGCTGAAGACTTGACACAATTATGCATACTTTCATATTAGTACATTTCTCAACAGTGTAAGTTGGTATGAGCGGGCACAATGAATACTATCTGTGTGGTAACACGTGACTGTACCGCTGACTAGTATGACTTCAAATCTCAGAGTAAACCTTGATTTCCCAAAAAATTTCAGATATACCTTTGTGATGCGTATTGACTGTTTTTTACAAGTCTGAGGATTTCTCTAATCTATTCTCCTACTTCGATTATTTTCATGTGTCAGTGGAAATTTCGTACTATCCTTTTGATATACAAGTGATGACGTTAATTGAATCCCAGTTTAAATGTGAATATACCTGAGAAGAGGAACAAGTACTAATCACCATCAACGGGAGAAATCTAAAGGAAGTTGTCTCTCTCACCTATCTCTCTACCTAGACAGCATCGTTTAGACTACAGGGGACGGCGGTGACACAGACGCGGACGTCACAGCCAGGATCGGAAAGACAGCAAGACAGGCCTTGATTAATGTGAAATCAGTGTGGAGATCTACTACACTGGATTGCGCCCAGCGTGAAGCGTGAACGAGATCCGGATTTTCAACACCATCGTCAAGTCAGTGCGTTACGAAAAGCATTTCGAAGAAGCTACAGACATACATGATGAACAGCTGCCGTCTACATTCACTCGATACTGAAGATCGACCGGACGGCCAGAAAGAATAAGCATGAAGGAACTGGAGCTGGCTGGCTGGCAACGAACCAACCAACAACCTGTCTCCCGACTTATATACAAAAGAGGGTGGAGATGGATTGGGTTGTATTGTATTGGACTAGACATACACTGAGAAGACGGTTTGAGGACATCAAACGCCAGATCAGGCCAGGCCAGGTTGTCGAATGAGAGGTAAATGGGAAAAGACGAGTTTGGCGTCCGAGTCGAAGGTGACATGGAGGAGATGGTTGAGTAAGTAATGGAAGGTTGTGGGCATTGATGGAACCAGGTTTTGAAGACTGTAGAGAAGAGAGTGGAATGGTGACGTGCTACTGAAGCTGTATGTTCCACTAGGAACCCAAAGGAGAAATAATAATAATAATAATGTTTAAGTCGGATGGATATGATGTGACGAATGTGATCGATTTTGAATAAATGTTATACAACAACTGTTTTTTCTTTTACATATTTCCTCTCATTTTCAAGTTGTCACTTTTTTCTTCTTCTTGCAATCAGATTTCAACTATTCGTAAGGAGGACTATGCTATGAATAAGCCTAAAAGTGAATATGAGGACTTGTTACAGTGCAATAATTTAGCTAGTAGTGCCACACCACGTGGTCATCAGATGCCAGCAGCATTCTTGGTCATGGCTAGTGGTCTAAATAAGGTGAGTGGTCAGATGTTGGAGGGAACTGCTTCAGTTCCTCAGGGATAGTTGTCTCTGCCGTTAATATTTTACCATTGAATGTATATTGTGTTTATCATCTTGACTGTCTGAGCAAACTATAGTTCAGAGTAGTGTTGATGATTGAAGGTGAAATGAAAATTTGGTCAGCAACCGGGCCTCGTATCTCAGTTGGTAGAGCACGAAGATGGGAATCCGTTGGTCGCTGGTCCGAATCCCGCCACCGTCCAAACTTTCACTTTACCTTCATTAATCTAACCACCTAGTATATTGTGTTCTCCAGAATTGTGAAATCGAAGTTGTCCAGATGATCATTGTAAAATATGTCACTTGTTTTTGAGGGTTTATGTGAGCCTTGTTGTCTGTCTGGTGCAGTGGTGTAAACTGTACTAGTGAATTAGTCAATTTGAGCGAAGAGTGATTACACAAGTGTGAAATGAGTTTAGTTTGCAAATGAAACATCTTTGATATGGAGTATGTTATTCGGCAATCCAGTTATTTCTTTCTCAAGTTGGTATTCATCATGGACTGACTTAAGTGAGAAAAACATTGGGAACCTTGGAGTGCTAGATGGCTGCTTCGTCCTGGTGTGAGGCTCCTCAGCAGTTCGCACCCACGACCCCCTGTCAGGGGTCGAACCCGGAATCTTCGGGTTCACTGATCAGCACGTGAACTGACGGAAGTTTGAAATATGGAGTATTGGATGCCGGCCAAGTGGCTGAGTGGTAACGTGCTGGCCACAGAAGCTGAGGGTCGTGGGTTGGATGGCTGGCGGTGTTGTGGGTGGGTACGCAATGCGAGGAATCTCATGCTAGTGGAACGAAACAACTGTCCAGTGCTCGCAGGTTTCTAATGTCCCTCCAACTGATGTCTGTTCATGATAAATACTAACTTAAAAAATCGCTAAATCTCCAGAAATCCTCAAAGTTCAATTATTTCCGTTTGAAAGCAGGAAAATGTCTGAAGTCATGACCAGTCATTCAATGAATTTTGTGGGCTCTAAGACCCCCTTCACTGATGTACGTCTCTATTTTCCTGTGATCTGATTAGATGATCACTTAGAATCTCAGTATTGTATGCAGCCAATGAAATAGACTTTAGAAGCGACAGAGTTGTTGATATCGAAGGGGAATGTTTTTTTAATATTTCTGTTCTAAGGCAGATACAGTTACAGATCTTAAGAGCTTTGGGGTCATATATATATATATCGAAATTTTTAGCTCATATTTTTTTTTAGTGAATTTAGAATCAAGCAGTGAAATAATTACAGTCTTGATTAGTTATAGAGGTTTGTCAAACGGTGGATTAGTACAGTTGGGTGTTTTGTTTTAAGGTTTCATTTTACCCTTGGGTTAAGTAAGGTTAAAAGTTTGAATCATAATGAACAAAGTGATGTGGTTTTAATATTTCAGGATGTACACAAAACAATTTAGCTTATGCTAACTAAGAACTCTAACAGTAGTATTAGTTCTAAGTTGCTGTTTATTTGGTATACAGCATAGTCATTGCCACCCAAAACTCAAGGCATTCATTTGTTATGTACTATGTGCCGTGCTTCATTGATAAAGACATATGGAGACAAGAAGTGAATACACTCAGCAACCACATGTACACTTGTGCAGTTGGGCAGTAAGTCACACCCATTGTATAAGTTGAGTACATATTTCAACAATACACTCCATGCAGATAAGTGGTAAATCGTTGTATCAAGCTGTTAGTTAGACCTGCAGTTGACAGGGACTACTACATGATCTTATAAATTGAAGTATCTGAGCTGTTGTGAATTGAGCACTGAGACAGATAACGGTAAAACTTCCTTTTCAAAGGAGTTAGTTCTAAGTGAATTTATAAATTATTGTTAAATCGTATATAAACATCTATTATTCGTTGATGTTTTAGCACGGTTTGGATTCTAAAGCTCAACTACCGTATACTCATGTGGATGTGGCTGGTAGTGCTGGTGAGATTTATGTGACGCCGACTGCTGCTCCTTTGATGTTGTTTGCACGACGATATGTGTTACCTCGACTAGGCTTCGAATAACTATTTGACTTTCATTGTCATTATCCCTATTGTCAAGCTTGTTTAGTGAAATAACTCGATGAATTGTTCTGTACTTGTGAGAATAACATCATCATATGTGATACGTATCTCCTCCCTGTCGATTGTTTTGTTTCTGATAAAGATTTTCTAAATTTTGTTATACAGCCAGCATGATACTGATGTGAGTGAGTTGGGTTAGGATATGGGTTCTGTTAAAAAGCGAACGAGTTAATAACACAACGAGATATTTGGACTGGATACGAGTAATACGACTGTTCTCCTCCACATGAGCCGGGAAAATCAGAAATCAAAGGACAGGTCTGTGACTGACTTACGGAGAATGACTTTATTTGACAAAGAATGTAGTATTTATATACAGCTGCTATTCAGAAGATGAAGCCACTAGATAACCAATCAGATGGAGATAAATCGAGGTCTGAAAGGGAAATATTTCTATGCCGACGGCGAATGACCTTGAACAATGATTCCCAGTCATGGCCACTTTCTAAAAGATACAAATGCTGATTTGTGTGTTATTATTCTTGGGATGTAATGAGATTTAGAGTGGTTGATTTCATAATATTGGTTGGCGTTTTATAGTTGCTGTGGAGATGATGTGGTCGGCAGGGTAATATGTGTAATGACTTCAGTCTCTGTTATTAGTATCCACTGCACATATGCGTCTTCTATGGTTGCTTGGTAGTCCTGTGTTTATCGACGATGTTCATTAAGACTCCCTTCTGCCCTGTGGGAAAGTATTTCTGGTTATAAGTTCTTCAAAACGTCTAAAAGTTACTTAAGTGGTTGGGTCCTAAGATTCTGTTAGTACAACACCAAGCCTTTAGACTGGACTTCCTGGGTCAGAAATCTATTATCACTTCAGTTTTCCCTAAATATCACTCTTGTTTGTGGAGAACAATTTTCTAGCAAACTTCGTTTCAGAATCACCCGGTGCAAAAGTGAGGCTGAGGAGTAGCGAATCTGAGAAAAGCAAGCAGGTCTCAGGCGTTGGCATATATATGCCGGCAAATGTTTACCCTCCATCATATCTTGAAACTCAAGTACAGTTACTGGCCTCCTGGTAGTAGTTGTATTTCTCGGCCTGAAGATGGTGCCCAACTTGGGAGATGAAGAGGTTCCCTCAGGGCCAGTCCATGGTATGAACGGTTGAGTCACTTGTGCATATAGTTGTTGTAAGGAGCACTATGCAGCCTCAACTGAAGCTTATGGATTGTGTGAAGTCCTACGAAGAGACTGCCAAGCTAATAGCTGCCATGATAACTTTCCATACATTGAGTCTAGCTGGGGCATCGGCCTGGTGTAAGATGGCTGCTGTGAATGTGAAGATGACCACTTTTACTAAGGAGCGCAAGGTGCCTGGTGAAGCGTACATCATCTGTGTGCGAGAACTGATGATTGTATTTGGTTGCTGCTCTGATGTGCTGTATAAGGGTCAAGGAAATTGATGTTCCCACTAACCTACGACCAGACGAGTTATGTGATGCTTCTGTTGTTAGTCTATCCCAGTCAGTTGATGGTGCGTTGAAGTCTGCTAGGACTAGGCATCGGCATTTATCTGTCCAGAGGGTCAGCTTATTCAGGAGGAAGTCTTCTGCTCCATATTCAGGGCTTCGAAATACTGTGATCAGGTTAACATCGTGTCCCAATGCATTTTAGTCAGGATTTCTCATGTCCCATTTTCATGTGCATCCTTTTCTATAGCCCTTACAGTCAGGTATTCTTAACGTAGAGGATGACATCACCACCTCTACTTAGAAAAGGAACGAATCCTCGTAAATAAGTTTCACAGTCACTGATCTCAGAAGAGAGCCAAGTTTCTGAGATACTAATGATGTCACGACTTCCTAGGCCTATTACTGAGCTCAGTCCACCTCAAGTGCGTTAGTGTACACGACGATAAAGATACTTGAGTGAGTTTTCGTCCTATTCATAGAGGCTTCGGCATCATTTGTTGCCGAAACCTCACTACACGAGAACCAATCACTTTTAGATCTTTCTCCCCTGCAAGTAATCTGGGTTTTAGTTCTTCTGCTTGTCTTTTTTTGATTCAATCAGCAAAAGGCAAATCCTCACAAACTGGACTGTGTACAAGTAAGTAGCAAGCACCTGTCGGATAGGTGACTTGGGTTTTCTGCGATGAATGGAAGGGCTGGCCATTTGTGTGCATTCTTCGTCGGCTAAACTGAAGCATGAAGAATGACTTTGAGAGCTAAATCTCTTCTTTTTGTCGTATTCTAGACGAAGAGGACAATCAATCATGCCATATATAATTTTAGTAAATGACTTCGGATCTGATATACCTTCTTTACTTCCCACTTGGTGGGATTACTGCAGAGGGCAAGCAAGAGTGGAGAACCAAAGACAAACTTTCTCACTGTAAACTCCCGATTTACGTGTCATTTAAACAACTCGGAACCGATTCTCAGAAGAAGTGGTATCCACGTCATCAAGTGACACATTCAAGAGAGAACTATGGAGACGTAGAGGTCTATTAGGAAAGGAATATTATCATTAAACCAACAGTTCGAATCAGTGTTGGATTATGGAGATTTTCCAGCACTAACTTTGGCACATATTATTAAGTAAATATTCTTTTGGAAATATAATTGCTACTGTGTTTTCAATCGATCCTGATACACTCCTAATGACTACCATTGTGAACAAGTTTATTGCAAATAGTAAGAACTGCTAACTGGAGAGACCTTTGGTAACTAAGTATACTAGTCAGTAATCGATTACTTCCAGCTGTTTAGAGATGAAATGATGATTTCTGAGTTAGTTGGACATCTCACCAAAAGTAATTATTCAGGCATAGTTTCAAATTGAATAACTGCATCGAGATTTCTATCGTCACAAACAAGGCACCACTGACGATCAATCCTGAAGCAACAATACACATTCAGTGGTGAGAAACGCATCTCAACATTATCTGTTTGTCAATCAAGGTTAACGGAAGACTGCATCCTGTCAGCGTCCTCGCATAAACACGATTCCATCACCTGCGTACTTTAGGCTGATGAGAACATCTCTCATGACAACGTCAATCTCTGTAATGTCACACAAGGACATACACAATATTATAGGGAAGTCTACGACAAAACTAAATAAGAATGACGAGTGGATATCCTTCACAGCTTTAACATATTTCCGTCTACGAATCCACCGATGATCCAAAGGATGAATTCAATGAAAAGCTGTCAACCTTACTACAGAAAGCAGAACTTTCAGACATAGTCACAATGACAAATAACCATAACGCTCAAGTAGCATGCTGAACTAATCAGAAAGGCATCTCGGGGGTACTTATGGAATTCCATCCCAAAGAACCGATAAACGTGATTGACTTTTACAATTTCGTCCCGACAATCACTTAGTTCTGAGCAGCAAAAAATGTGAGTATGAGAAGAGACAGACTCACACGATAGCTGTCGTCGTCAAACCAACGATGGACACAGATAGATCATATTGCTAAAAGCTATCGTTGGAGAGGATCAGTGGAAGACTGCCACTCTTTCTGGAGTGCTGTTCCGATCATGCAATAGTATGGGCACACGTATGTCTGAGCCTTACTCGTCTCAGAAAACAGACGTTAGACATACAGAGAAGGTAACTTTAACGTAAATTGATCAAGAATTTTCACTATAATCGCGAGGGATGGTGGGTGCTGAAAGCAAGACAGATGGAGAAGGTATCAACGTTGGGTAGGCTTATTAAGGACACCGGTAAGTAGAAGGTAATAGCTAGTGAAACCATCAACAAAAAGGATGGGACGCTGATAACCTCACAGGAGAGCCGGCTAGAAAGTCAGGCGGAACAATTTGAAGCACAGTTCAACTGGCTCACAGCAAAGCTTCACTTGCCCAGGCCCAGCATATACCCAGCCCAAAACTGAATGGGATTTACATGTCCACCCCCTAGTTGTCGTCGAAGTTGAGAGATCCATGTCGAATCCGAAATGATGCAAAACTGCTGGATCTGACAGTTTGCTACCCATATATTGAGATCCTGAGAAAAATTTCATTTCATTGTAAGAGTTAACAGTAAACTTCAGCAGCTGGAACGAGATACGGGTACCACATAATCCAGTTAATGTCAGAAAGGGGTAATAGTTCAGTAGTAAAAATAAACAGAAGCAGTGAAGTAGTACAGACCCAGAAGTACAACGAAATACTTAGGTTATTCAGCGTTTTCTATGTAACATTCAGAGAATATATTAATGGAGATCACGTAAATTAATATACTAAGTCACTAAAAAGGGACAAAAAATTGAATTGGAAGTAAGCCGAGTTCGGGTGATTCCCTGGGAAAGTTAACAATATAATGATAAAATGAATATTAGTTATGAAATTGCACAGATTAGAAGTAAGAGAGAAAATTAAAAAAGATACATGCGTGAAAACACAATGAAACGAATGGCTATCACTGTAGCTGGAAAGTAATATCTACCTCTGTTTGAACACAAATAGTGCTTCTTTTTTACGGTTACAAGTTCGCAAAGTAAATAAATAAAAAAACTAATTGACCAATAATCTCAGAAGCATTATTATTGTCTACTTACAGAAACTCTTTGGCTGTCTGCGTTATCCTAGCATAGCTAATTTGATACGTGTTTACTGAATATCCAGCGGATATACGTGTATTCGAAAATGCTTTTGAAGATAACTGGAATATATCTCGAGTTTCAACTTGCTAAAGTGAAATATGTGTTTTGCACAAGTAGCATATTTTGGTTGGTGCGAAAGTTTAGCTTCAATATAGATTTTATTCTCGATTTCATCCTGCAGCAAAATTGTCCCAGATGACTTAGTTTTTCTTCCCATTATCCCCTGGATTCTGTCAGTAGTTTTTTTTCTAAAATGCTTCAGATTTTCTGATTTTTCTACCTACACTTGATTTGATAATTGAAAATTTTCGGAACTTAAAAATATCCTTTTGCTAACCTCTTGCTTATGACTGAACGGATAGAAACCAATGAAGTG